CTCCTCCTTTTATTTCCCCAAAGCCCCAGTAGATAGTTGTATGTCATAGTTGCACATCCTTCTAGTTGCTGTATGTGGGACGCAGCCTCAGCATGACCCGAGAAGCAGTGCGTCGGTGCGCACCCGGGATCCAAAACCAGGCCGCCAGTAGTGGAGCGTGGGCACTTAACCGCTAAGCCATGGGGCCAGCCCCAGGAAGTCTTAAACAGGTATGTCCCCATCCCATCCTTGGAGCCCCTAGGTGGCCTTATAAAGGATAGTGGGGCCTGGCCATAACCAGAGGTTGGGAAGGAATATAGACACAGTACCTATGGAACAGTGGGGTGCTGGTCCATTATCTTTTCCCTCTATCATTGTATTTACTAAAGAAGTTTTATTCACCTTTCTTTTTTCTTCTTTGTACTTGATCAAATACATTTCAAGTGTTACCAATAAGAATTTCAGGTAAAGTTATAAAAAGTGTGGTTTCAAGTGGATCGCCCAAGGAGGGAAAAACAGTTCAGATGTCTTCATTATGCTCTGAGCTCAGAGTATGAACCTTTTTCCTCTGTGGAGCACCTCCTCCCCTCCCAATGTCAAGTGCACATCTGACCGTTCATTCCTACAGCGTAGGAATTGGAATGCTCTCCTCTCTGTGCCACAAACCCTTTGGGCTAAGTCTAATAATCATCACATCTCTGCTTTGCCTGGTGTTGCTGGGCAGGGGCATCCCACTGAATATCTCCCAGGCCAAGGCCCTCTTACCTGCACTAAGGGAAGGCCCATGTGGCAGATCCAGGATTTCCGGCCCCAAGACTTACCCCTCCTCTACCAGGAGCAAATCTTGGAGCCTGCAGAGGCCAGAACCAGTATCCTTGGAGCTGAAGACGGATTGCTGTGTGCTGGGGCTAAGAGAAGTCCTGAAGACATATGCAAGTAATGAATGCTGGGGGAGATTGTGACGGGCAGTGGGAGAGACGCTTCCCAGAGAAATAAAATGGTTCAGTGCCCTTTGGATGCCCCATCCATCCCCACCCCCTAGCCCAGTCACTGACAAAATGTGGCTGTATTTATGAAGGAGACCTCACCCATGTCCCCTGGCTCTGTTGAGATACCATCCAGGATCTTTTTCCCTAGGTTACTTGAACCTGGAACCAAACACTGCTTATTCCCACATCATCGTGTCCAAGGAAAGAAAATGTATGCGCTATGGAGACACCAAGCATAAACTGCTGGAGAATCCCGAGAGATTTTATCATTACAGTGTCGTCCTGGGCAGCCAAAGTATCTCCTCAGGCCAGCACTACTGGGCGGTGGAGGTGGTAGACAGGTCTAAATGGGGCCTGGGAGTGTGTAAAGAAAGTGTGGAAGGAGGGGATCTATTTATCCCCCCGCTATGGATTCTGGGGGATAAGGTTGAGGAAGGAAATGAGTACCGGGCAGGCAACAATGAATACCCCCTCTTGTCTTTGGCAGTCCCTCCACACCAGGTGGAAGTCTTCCTGGATTATGAGGCCCATGATATCTCCTTCTACAATGTGACTGTAACTGCTCCCACATTTTCACTTTCCCCCACTATCCCTTCCCTGGGTGCCTCCTGCCCTATTTTAGTCCTTTCTACAGCATTGGCGCCAACAACACCACTCCTCTGCCCATCTGCTCCCTGGATGGAGAGGACTAAGAGAGCCCCCATCATAGGTAGAGGCCCTGGAATTTCACCTGGACTGCAGGAGTCTTGGAGGGCACTGCCACAGACAAGGGTCCCCTTGAACTGAGCTGAGCCAGGAATCCAGAGATTCCTCTGCCTGACCCACTGATCTGTTGCCACTGGGCCAAAGTCTCGCTCTAAACCACTCATGTGAAAAAGCTGAGGCTCAGTCAAATGAGCAGTGGACCCTTATGAGGGAAGTGTGGTAGGGCTGATGGTGAAGATTAGAGCGGTTCTGAGGATCAGGACTCTATCCTTTCTGTAGCTCGTGCCCATCTTCCACATCCCTGTTGGTGCCGTGATTAAGTCAGTGACAATGATGATGTAGATCCAGTGTTCAGGAAAACCTTTGGATAGGGTGTACCAAGAAGCCAAAAGAATACTGTCCATGTCCAGAGCTGGTTTCTGTGCTGATACCAGTAGAAGAATGCTTCATCTGAGTTTTCCTGCTTCTGAGCAACCCATAATTGACCCCAGCTCTCTGACCTCCTAAGTCGAGAAATAAATGCATTGCAGCATTGCCCAGACCACCCCGGTGACCATCCATGCTCTGAACGCAAGCTGGGCAAATCGCTCAATCTCAGACTCTAAGGAGACCTGTGTCCTGGTCCTGCCCTTTACCCTAAGTCTCAGGATCTGAAATCCTGTGAGCCTTGTTTTTATTTTCACTTGATGGATGAAGCAACTGAAATGGCCTTAAAACAGCAAGTTATTTCTCAAAAAGCTGTTGAAAGAAGACTGAAAAGATTATAAAGTATTTCTCACATTCAAATGAAACAAGATTGACAAACTCGCTTCTCAGGTCACATGTCTGCATATCATTCATTACATTTGGATCTGAAACATCCCACCTGTTTGAAAGACTTTCAAGTGTCCTCAGTGGAAAAGTGGGTATAGTAGCTGCATACTCTCCTACCTCACAAGATTGTTATGAAGATCTCAGATCCATCTGATATTGTTGTTCCTTTCTCAAGGATAGAGGAAGGCAATCCATGGAATTTGCCTATGTCACCTTCCTATCTCACCTTCCGACAGCCAGCATCTTGACAGTGGGGGCTTTGTTTCTTAGGGCCTCTCCTGATGGTCTAGAGCCCTTTACATAGAAAAGTGCCCATGCCAATGGCAAACTCTAGGCCAAAGTAATATATTGTGCATCTAATATATGTACTTGTTTTTGGATTAGAATGGAGACCGTGACATCAGGGTAGAGAATAGAAATAATAAAAAGAAAAATGTAGAACAAAAACATTGCAAGAAAGACTCACCCATAAGCTGGTTGATCTAAAGTTCGGATCTCTTTATGTCACCAAGAGAATCTCCCTGGTTCTGGTAACTACATAATACTCTGCCTCTCTCTTCTCTAAATCTATGACAGAAGGAGGAAAGCAGGAGGGAAGGGTGGGGAGAAAGAATTGGACCAGGCACAAAAGATCAGTGCAGGAACCGTACATTATAATGAAAGGGACTTAAGACTATATATCTGAGCTTTTGACCCTAAAGTGATGTATGTGGAAAAAATAATTCATTATAGGCCTGACGTTTATGATGTGGGAATGATTGTGGCTGGAAACAAACTGCAAGGCAAGAACTAATGGCTTGTCTATTGCAAGGGCTGCAATATGTACATTACATATTGCCACCGTGATGTTGTGTAACAACCTCTGAGGTAGTTTATACTTGAAGGTAGTGACTGTTGGCTTAAGATTGGGTAGCAAAGTAGATATTAGGTTAGGTATAGGCAGAAGCAAACTAATTCCTTTAATAAAAACTAGCAAAAATTATCTTTCTACATTTATTGTTTGGCTATTCACCTGTGAATGAGGCAAAACACACCAAAATATAGAAATAAACTCATTCTGCCCATGATGCTTCCACGTTGCTCTTTGAGTATTAGTAGCAGAAGGGGAGAAGTTTCCATCATCTGCCTGGAGTGGAACGAACTGGTTAGTCACTGTCTCGGTCTTGCAAATTATTGAGCTGACCTACATTAGAGAGAGTGTGTCTTTTTTTGGGCAGGTGGCGGGGGGACTCCCTGGGAAATTGTTATAGACTTCAGAAATGAATCTTGAGGAAGTGCTTCCAGTTATGTCCATTGACATGCAGGAGAAGAGGCTAGAGGCCAAATCAATGTTGATCTTTTACTATGGTTTTATTAGTACAAATCTTAGAAGTTTCCTAGAATAAGAAGATTATTTGGTGATAAATTCATTCTAACCTAGAATGAATTAAGGAGTGGAATGGCTTCATTTGTAATGTGCTATTTTTTTTTTGACATTTATAAGCTGATTTGGGTGCTATGATTTCTTGTTAGAAAAATTACAAGGATAAACACATTGTTTTTCCTATTATCTGATTTTTAAGACCAAGCAAGAAGACTGAAGTTCTTAAATGTATGAAAACCCTTTTCTCAAGGGTAGTTGCTTACACTTCCCTTCTGTCTTGACATGAGTGCAGCCATATTTGGCCGTTCCATTAACCTACAGCCACCAGCACACAAAGAAATATAAAGCTGCTTTCTGTGTGGTGGAAACTGGCCTTTTTCCCAGAAACTGGCCTTTCTCCCACAGAGATAGTTGCAATTTGTAAGAATTTCAAGGTCCTTTGGGCATCACGACCTGGGGCAGACTGGCCATCTGTGCCAGGCTGGGACGATAACCAGGGAAAACAATGCACATACACAACTGCAGGGCTGGGACAATAGCCAGGAGGCTCAGTGCACATATGCCACTGATAACCATTTGTGCATGGGAACATTGAATGCTTGCTCTGGAAAAACTCTGTAACTGCTTGTATAAACTGCTGGAAACCAAGGCCTGGTGAGAGTCTCACCTGTGGAGAGGATGCCTGGCCCAGGAACTCTGATGATCGGATTCCCACCCAGCCGTGTCAATTGAAGGGACTCTCCCCAGCAGTGGGGCATGGATGTTGTGAGTAACCGATCTGAGGTGTTCTCTTTTCGGTCAACCTGGTGTTTCTCTTTCCGGTTGATTTGTGTCATTTCCCTTCAGTCAATGTGGATGTTTTCCCTTTCCAGTCAACCTGATGTTTTTCCCTCTCATTATATGACCTATTCGAATCTGCTGCTATCTCAGCCGATGTGGATGTTTTCCCTTTCCAGTTGAGCTGATGTTTTTCCCTCTTAATATTTGACCTATTCAGATCTGTTTGCAGACTATCGTCTTTACTATCCTCTACGTAATAAAATATACCTTCAGTGCATTTGTTTGCAGTGGAAAGTTTCTTTTACGTCTCCGATCAAATCCCCAAACCTCTCGTAACATAATTGGCACTGTGAGCAGGATTTGATTAAGGAGATGGCTTTCCTGTTCAAACAAAAGGTAACTAAAGCCAAGGTGGAAGAAATTCCATGATAGGAGGACGCTCCCTCTTACACTCTGGCTGGGGAGTGGACTCGTAGGTCAGGATTATGTGAATCTTGGGATGTTCGTCTGCAAGATATCAACTATTGGATGTGAACAAAGCTTTGCAGATGGTGGAAAAAAAGGAGATGACGTTTCTTTTCTGGCACAGCAAGGTTGGTGTTTATTAACTGCTTATCGTCGGGCTATAGAAGATAGGGATAGAATACAAGAGAGAAGGTACGCTTGGAAAAAGAAGCTTCAGATTTACAGTCCCAGGTGATGTCACCCAAAATAGAAACTCTTTCCTTGCCATGAGACTGGCATTCTAGTTTTATTTGGCCCCTCTTATGTGACAAATAGAGAGCCTGAATGTGCATCCAATAATAATTTGGCGAGCCAGCCAGGAGGCTTTGTCTGTGGCTTGGCGGCCCTGGGCTGGGTGGCTGGGTGGGATTTCCTGGGAAACAGTCCAGCAGCTGCCTAGGTGATTTGCCCTAGGGACTGCTCCCAGTGCTTTCCATCTGACCCTGCGCTGCTGACCCTGGACACATTTTCTTATGACAGGGAAACAGGCTCTAGAATTATTTGTTTGTTTGTTTTTACTTACACCGAAAACTCCTTTTCCCTCCGTCTGGGGTCCTATCTCTTTAAGAGGCAGGGCTATCTCTACTGGAGTGGAAATAGTTGTAGGACTTTTACCCAGAATCTGTTAGATGCACCTAGCTGTTTTGTTTGGGATCCCATTTGACTGTCTGTTCTGTATGTTTGTAATTTTGAAGGGGGCGAATTCCATCCGGCCCCAAGGAAAGCCCTCTGGGCCACCTCTTGGCTAAATGAACTATATTCAGCTAGGAGCCCATGTCCAAGAAGATAGTTTTTTCTTGTAACACCACATGGCCACAATATTCCATAGACTTCAGAGAGAAAGTGGCCAAAACGGGGCAATTTCAGTTTACCAAAACTGATATCTTTGCTTATGCAATTGAAAAAAGCCAGCTAAAACGTTAAACAACTAGTGGGAAGCCTATTGTACTCTTTTGAGGTTTCTAAATAAAATCAGGAATACTGTACTGCCTCTTTAAGAAAAAATAATTACATAATTAAACATGCCAGCAGTGGAAGCTGAATCTGCTGCTCCTCTCTCTTCCCTTGCTGAGCTTCCCGCTTCAACTCCCCCGGAATTCCTGATCTAAACTTAAGCAAGTAAAAATAAGTAAACTTTTAAAGTAATTTAAAATTGTAATGGCTATTCTAAAAAAACCTCTGTTTCAGATGAGTTCACCTTCAGGGTCACTCTTAAAAGAGAGGATTCAAAACCTCTCACGATAAAATACATCTTTTATTAATACACAGAAACTTCTAAAAGGCAAAGTTATTTCAAAAACAGCTTCCAAAATCCAAAATCTTTTTGGTAACTTAAAGCTTTAGAGTTTTGCTAAATTAAGTTGATAAAAATTTATTGAGTCTCTAGGTCATTTCCACATAAGATAAAACATTAAAAATTGGTTACTAAGCTTGTAGTTTCTTATCTCAAAGAAACTAAAAGATGCTTCCGTTTATTGATAAACATCTTCTGTGTACGTTGAGAAATTGTCTATGAAAAAATACGTATTTCTAAAAAGTCTGTATACAAAAAACAAAATGTATGTTGTCCATAAAAAAGATATAAAAAATAAAAATATTTTTGTTTTATTAAAAAAGATAAATTTGTCCTAAAGTACTAAAAAAAAAAAAAAAAAGACATGGGACAAATTCTATGTATAAAAAGTAAGTGAAAAAGGTTTGTGAAAATAAAACCCTGAAAAATTTTGTACGTGATCAAGTTGGCTAAAGTAAGCTAATAAAAAATTAGGATTTCGCTTTCTCTCTTATAAAGGTAATTTTCTTAAACTTTTGATCTGCTCTTTATATAGAGGTTAAAAGGGTATTCCTTTGAATAAGTCTATATAAAAAACAAAACATCTATATTTTGTTAAAATAATTTCTTATGTTCAAAAGGACTAAAGTCTCTCTATTAAGGTTTTTGTTTTTGTTTTTTTGACTGTTTTAACTCTCTGTTTGCCTTACTGTTTCTGTTGTCACCTTAATTAAATGAATAACTAGGCATTATTTCCTATTTAACCAAATGTTTTAAAATCTTTTGGTATTTTTGATAAACTTCTGCCAAAATAAAGTCTTTTTTTTACTTAAAAAAATTATAAAAAGACATATGATTATGATGTTAAAACACAATTGTTACTGTATTTCATATTGATGCTCACAGTTCTTTAATTTCTACAAAACAAAAATATAACTCATGCTAATCAGCTAGTGCAAAGTCGTGCAGCGAACAACCCAGGCCTAGCACGCTGGGTCCACAAAAAGAGTGGACACTTGGGAAAACAAACTTCATACAGGTGGGCACAACAAAGGAAATCCTTGTCACCCATGATGATATTGCCACTGTAGTACAACAATGTCAATTATGCCAACAGTTAAACAAACAGGGAGTTCCACACCCTTACCAAGGTCATATTCAAAGGGGATTATTTCCCGCCCATACCTAACAAATAGATTTTATTGGACCATTGCCAAATTCTTGTGGATATGTTTATGCTTACATTGCTGCTGATACATATTCTGGTTATTTATTAGCTATGCCAGCTAAAGCAGCCACCCAACAAAGTGCCATAAAATTCTATAAAACACCAAGGCAAATTCAGAGTGACAATCGTTCCCACTTTACAAGTAAGTTGATTCAAACTTATACAAAAATAATCATATATTGGGCTGGCCCAGTGGCTTAGCGGTTAAATGCGCACACTCCGCTACTGGCGGCCTGGGTTCGGATCCCGGGCGTGCACCAACGCACCGCTTCTCAGGCCATGCTGAGGCCGTGTCCCACGTACAGCAACTAGAAGGATGTGCAACTATGACATACAACTATCTACTGGGGCTTTGGGGAAAATAAAGGAGGAGGATTGGCAATAGATGTTAGCCCAGAGCTGGTCTTCCTCAGCAAAATGAGGAGGATTAGCATGGATGTTAGCTCAGGGCTGATCTTCTTCTTCTTCTTCTTCAAAAAAAATCATATAAAATAGATTTATCATGTACTTTATTACCTCCAAGCTGCAGGCCTCATAAAACAAATACATGGCTTGCTTAAACAACAATTGAAAAAACTCAGTCATGGCTCATTAAAGGGATGACACAACCATCTAAGTACTGCTCTAAATATGTTAACTAACAGGCCACTAGGCCCTAATGAGACTCCCCTGTCGAGGTTGTTACCAACAAAAATTACAAAAATGGCAGCCACTATCCATGAGCTTATGACCTTAACCTCTTAGCCATTGACTCAATCTGCTAAACCGCCTTTTCGTGCCATGGCCAAAGCATCTGTATTGGATTTATCCACTGTCTATTCTATTCAATTGCCCCCTAAGAAGCAATCTATAGTCCCTACTGAGATGGGGGTATAATTTCCCCAAAACACTTTTAGTTTATTAAAAAAGATGCTCTAGACTAGCAGCAAAAGGTATTGACGTACTAGGAGGAGTCATTGATCCAAATTACCAAAAAAAAATAAAATTTATATTATATAATGGTAGTGACACAATGCTAATTACAGAGTCTAAAAAACAAATGGGACAATTATTGGTGCTTCCCCTCTTGACTCCAAGTGTGTCACAAGGACAACCTCCAACTAAATTAACTAAAAAAAAAAAATGCAAAGATTTGGGTCTACAGATGAATAAAAACCTAAAACAAAAGTATGGGTGACACACGCACCCAATGCGACTCCCCATGCCACAAAAGTAATGGCCTAAGGGCTCACTACAACACTCACAGTCATGTATCCAAAAAGTAAACAATTCTCTCATGTTCCTAAAAATTCTGTTTTTTTATGTAAATAGATATTCCTACTGCGCTCGCTATGCTATGCTACAACTCCATGTCTGCTATAGACCTACACACCAACTAATGTCTCCGTTGGATAACCTTTGACCCTACACTGCTAAACCAACTGCTCTACACCAGTGGGACCTGTAACCTGGACTATAAATGGCCAAGAAGTTTGGTCTCAAAAACATCAAACAACTTCTCAGTATAAGCCTATATCTGATCAGTTACACAAAACTAATTATAATTTCTCTATTACCCTGCCTTCTGCTACCCTCCGTGACGGGAGACAATCTGGACTTCTATAAGCTAATTTGTTAGGCCTAGATGTTACCTTATCTGATGTTATCTTTAATACTGTACATGATTTGCAAGATCAAGTTAATAATACTTCATATTCTAAGGGGTTATTTAATTTATTACCTTGGGATTGAGGTCCTTTATTATGAGATAGTTTTATAATTGTTATAGTCATTAGATTTTGGGTTCTTGGATATGCCTTGTATACTTATGTACAAAGATCATTGTCTGTGCATATGGTATCTTATGGTTAATGGAAATGGCCACGGCTAAAAATGTCTTGACATGAGTGCAGCCAGGTTTGGCCGTTCCGTTAACCTATAGACACCAGCACACAAAGAAATATAAAGCTGCTTTCTGTGTGGTGGAAACTGGCCTTTTTCCCAGAAACTGGCCTTTCTCCCACAGAGATAGTTGCAATTTATAAAAAATATCAAGGTCCTTTGGGCGTCACGACCTGGGGCAGACTGGCCATCTGTGCCAGGCTGGGACGACAACCAGGGGAAAACAATGCTGGTACACAACTGCCTGCCAGGCTAGGATGATAGCCAGGAGGCTCAGTACACGTATGCCACCGATAACCATTTGTGCATGGGAACATTGAATGCTTGCTCTGAAAAAACTCTGTAACTGCTTATATAAACTGCTGGAAACCAAGGCCTGGTGAGAGTCTCACCTGTGGAGGGGATGCCCAGCCCAGGACCTCTGATGATTGGATTCCTGCCCAGCCGTGTCAATTGAAGGGACTCTCCTGGCAGTGGGGCGTGTATGTTGTGAGTAACCAACCTGAGGTGTTCTCTTTTCGGTCAACCTGATGTTTCTCTTTCCGGTTGATTTATGTCATTTCCCTTCAGTCAATGTGGATGTTTTCTCTTTCCAGCCAATCTGATGTTTTTCCCTCTCATTATATGACCTATTCGAATCTGCTGCGATCTCAGCCAATGTGGATGTTTTCCCTTTCCAGTTGAGCTGATGTTTTTCCCTCTTAATATTTGACCTATTCATATCTGTTTGTGGACTATCACCTTTGCTATCCTCTATATAATAAAATATACCTTCAGTCCATTTGTTTGGAGTAAAAAGTTTCTTTTACGTCTCTGATCAAATCCCCAAACCTCTCGTAACACCTTCTCAGAACTCCATTAAGACAAGGCTTATTTGTCTGGTTCACCATTGTAGCCACAGTCTAGCACTGTGTGTGTGTGTGTGTATGTGTGTATGTTGATAAATATTTAAGTGAGGAAACTTTCATTACTATGCTTTGAATCAAAACAAAAATAAGCTCTTGCCTCATAGGGGCATGAAAGACTGGATGGTACTAAATTATAACCCTGTTCAGCTACTAATTTGATGGATAATTTCAAAAGTGGTCCAGAAGGGGAAGAGGTAGGTAGCCATGTGGAGGGTAGAGTGCCTGGACCACTTCCTGGAGTGTCTGGAGTGGCACTCTGACTTGGTGGGATCATTCACTTCAAGGCAGGGATGAGCTTTCCCTTCCTTGTTTTACTAGCAGAGAACCAAGAGGGGCAATGCCTGAGCCTTGAGGGGAAAGCCAACTAAAAGCATGAAATGCTTGGGTCCTGCAAATTTAGATACAGAGGGCAAATCCTTGGGTTTGCAACTCCTCAAAGGAAATCCAGTCTCCCGTTTTTTTCAAGCAGTATTGCTTGTAATGTCTGAAGAGCCAAACACTGAAATTCTACTGTGGGTCCCAGGCAACTAGTTAAAGCAGTACACATTACCTCTTGTATTAGGGAGGAGTCAGATGTGAATGTATCAAGAGATGCACAGGACTTTCTACTTTGGGGTAACCATGGCAGGGAACCAGTCCACTTTGGGAAGTATGTAGTTCAATATTTAACTATCATCAGTAGATCTCAGCTAGTTTTAGGGATTATAACGTGAATGAAACACAAAGCTGGCAGGGCAGCCTTCTGATGGGAATGCCGGCAAGAAATTTCTGTTTCAAGGGCAGTCTGAACTATAACTTTGTCACGTTACATCAGATTCTTTAATGCATCTAATATTCTTTGAAATAGTGGGAATTGCCAATTCTTTGGGTTGCTAATGGAGAAAGAATAGTGTAATTTTCAAAATGGAAATCTTATCAAATGTGCTTAACCAGCTCACGATCTTCACTTGTTTTTATGTTAGAGGGTGACAAGGGGACGAAAGGGCTTTTTACTACTCTTTGGGAACACAGTGCATCATTATCAGATTTTTAGAGCTGATTCCTACTCTGCACCTATTCAGAAATAGAGAGAATACATTCTAGGTAGGTAAACAATTTCAATGTTAGCAAAGGTTATGAATGCTGATTTGTTAAGCAACAAATCTGTTTCGAACAGTTATCACATGAGTACTAATCTACACAGAACTGCAGTTTCAATAGTGCCTAGAACTACCCCTTAATAGTTGGAACTAGAAATTTATTGGCTATATTTTTAAGTATATATAATACGTCAGATGTTGTGTTATGTGCTCTCCATTCAGTATTTTATTTAATCTTCAATACCCTCCATGAATCAACATTGTTTCCCCCATCAGTCGAAAGAAGATAGTAAGACTCAGATATAACTTGCTATCAACACTATTAGAATTATCTTTTATTAAGATTTTCAAATGTACCAGAGTCAAACCTACGTATCTCTTACATATGAAATCTTTTCGTTTTAACATGTACTGATTATTCTGTTTAAGACTTTCTGAAAGGGGAAAATAAAAACAAACACCAATTAAGTATCTGATGATCTGGAGAGGACCTTCAATAATTCAAATTATTATTATTTGAATAATAATTTCAGCAGCATTATTGTTATTATACTCTATTAACATTTTCATCCCAGAGCATACCTCCTTAGAGGTGTCCAAGAGAAGAAAGACCTGTGTTATATTTGATGTGTCTCTTTTCTGTCTCTCAGTTACACAAGCAGGACTAGAAAGCAAAGAGAAAGATGTTCAAAACCAAATTCACATTGCCTTTGATTCTGTTACTTAGAAATAAAAAGCTTGTGATTAGTATACTGACTCCAACTAGCTTAATAGGGGATATATTAAAAGTATATAGAAATATCTTATAGAACATAATAACAGGAATACCCTCTGGGTGTCCAAAATGAATTAAATCACAGACTCCATTTCTTCATCCCATTTTGCTAATCTGCTTCTCTTGCTGTGGAACAGATTTCTCTTTCCAAGTTCATGTATTGTAAAATGGCCACTATCAGTGATCCAAGTTTATATCGCCTCAGATAAACTGGAATTCATTTTTATTGGAGAAGGACTCTCTCTGGTCCAGGTGTGAGTACATGACACAAGTTGAATGGATTCATCAAAGGGCCAGAAGGTAGGGTAATATATTAAATGTTGCTTCCATATAATCACATAGGAGATGAACAATCCTGAGAAAATCAGCCAGGTGTTGGGGGATGAAACAGTCTGTTTGTTCTGCAGAGGGACTGGTAGGATACTAAGTTGGAAATATGGGTCAGAAGCTAAAAAAAGAAAAACCCTACTTCTATATTCTCTGCTGAAACTTATCTCTGATTCAGATACTAGTTGATTAAAACCATTCAAAGTCTTGTCACAAAGTTAATCATTTCATTCACATCTTCACTAGAAATTGGAAAGTTATGAAAAGATACCCTTTAGTTTCATCTTACAACTCCTAATGTGCCAGGTAAACCAAACCAGCTGACAGATCCGAAGGCTTCTTTCAAGTTGTCTGTAATGCTCAACGTCTGAACAGATTTTGTGTTCTTGAACCCAGGTTGAAGTGGTCAAAGAGGCAGTGCATCAGCAAGCTCCATGAAAGCTTTCTTATTTGTTTGGTCCTCAGGCCATAGATGATGGGGTTTAAGGTGGTTGGGATGACCAGGTACAAGTCAGCTAACAGCACTTGGGTGTGCAAAGGCACTATGTTCTCCCCTAGCCAGGCAACATAGATGGATGCCATCCCAGGTAGGTAGTACAGAGCCATAACTCCCACATGGGAGCTACATGTGCTTAATGCTTTCAACCAAGCATTACTTGAGGAAAGACCAAATACTATCCAAATAATCTGGTTATAGGAGGCAGCAATGAAGACCACATCAGAGCCCACAATAATAGAGGAACCAATAAGACTATAGAGACAACTGGGCATGGGGTCAGCACATGCCAACTTAGCCACAGCTATATGCTCACAGTAGGAATGGAGAACCACATTGGAGCCACAGAAAGGTAGATGACTCACCATCCAACTCAACGGAGTCATGAATATGACAGCTCTGATGATGATGGCCACACTCATTCCCAGCATCACTTGAGGTGTGAGAATTCTCCTGTAATGTAGGGGCTTACAGATGGCTACATAGCGGTCAAAAGCCATGGCCAGCAGCAACCCTGTCTCCACAGCTGTGGCTACATGAACAAAATACATCTGAGTGAAACAAGCGTTAAAGCTGATGGAGTTGTCTCCTGAGGAGAAGATGCTCACCATCTTGGGCACTACAGAAAAGGCCATAACAATGTCCACGGTAGCCAGAACACACAGGAAGCAGTACATGGGCTCTTGTAAAGTAGAATCCATCCAGATAATGGTCATTATGAGGGTATTTCCAAACAGGCCTATGGTATACATGACACTCAGTGAGATAGCCAGCCAAAGATGTGAAGACTGCAAACCTGGGATACCCACAAGGAAGAAGGTGGCAGGGGTTTCCATTGTGTGGTTGTAGGATGGCCCCAGCATCATAGTTGAGACTGCTTTCCTGTTAACACATAAAATGATGTAAGAAAAGGATGCAATTCTGTAGGACTTGTTCCCAGCTATCGTGTTAGGAGATCCTAGTGGTATTCTCAGGATCAGAAAACTGGCATCAGACAAAGTTATTCTGCTCCACCTTCCATCTTCCTCAGTGTTCTTTGCCTTACTAATTTCTATTCATCATTCAAGGATCATGATGCTCATGGGTTACCTCCTTCTCTGTTCTATATGCTCCTGCATCCCAGGATATAGCCAAATTAGGAGCCTTCTGAGCTTTCATGGAATCTCCCATGCTGATCTCTGAGGGACCTAAATTGGCAATTCCAATACTCTACCTATGACTTGATTGTATTCAATTATGTATGTGTTGCTCACGGCATTACTTATAACCACAATTGTAAGACACAAGTCCGTTAAAAGAAGATATGTGTACCCATTATAGCAAATAGTTTCCATAGAATGAATGAGAAATCAGAAGAAAAAGTTTTTCTTTTATCTTTGTATATTCAGTTCCTAATACTTAAAAACTATTCAATGAAACAATGAACTTCCCGAGATTGACCATGTCATATTTTGTATCTTTAGTATAGTGCCTAGACAAAAGACGAATGAAGCATTTCTCCAGTTGAAGAAACAGATAAGTGGATTCAGGAAAATAAGGTCATTAGAGAACAACATTATATTTTTCCATAGGAGATAATAAACTGTCTGGAAATATTTATAATCCCTACCTTCTCTTACTTTCGGCCAGATTTCCTGTTGAGCTACACTCAATTAATAGATTAAATAGATTAAACAAATAAAACCATAGATGAATCCTCCAATAAGTTTTTATGATTCTTCACTATTGGTAATTCTCTGTTCAAGATAAAATACCAAGACATTCCAAACAACAATGAAGATTTATCCTTTAGAAAACACTCTTTAATGAGCATACATAGTACATACCAGTACTATGTTGGAAAGTGTAGTATTCATAATCTAAGTGTATTTCTCCATTTGTAAAATAGGACAAACATGCATTCCATACAAGACAGTTGATATAATTAATATGAGATTAAATATTTTGTGCAAGATCCCATAGCAAGTAGGTGGTAAATTTGAGATTCAAATACAGGTCGTTCCAACTCCTGTAAACACCTGTGACCCCCAGGTGTCCATTCAGCCCAAGATTAATAGGCAAGTGAACAACTATGAGTAATAGAAAATAAAATGTTCGGAGTCTCACTCAGCCAGTTTTGAGGGGACAGATGTGCACTACTCTGTACAGTAGGAACTTGTCGATTTTTGTTTATTGCTGCACTCAGTCTCCATCTGCCTCACTCAGGTGTTACTATATCATATAATGTGCAATAATCTGGTTGGGTAAACCTGAAGATAAGGGGTCAGTGTTAACTACCATTCCATTCCTGTGTGATATCCCTTTGGTTACTTTTCAGCTTCAGATGGATGGTTTCCATGATTTCATATGGTGTTTGGGCATGTGCACATTCCCCCAAACATCTGAGAACACTCCTTACAAGCAACCTTTCTTCCTCTGGTGGTATCACTCAGCCTTGGGAGACATGGATTGAACTTCTTCAAAGAACCCCTAGTTGTTCTTTCCTTAGAATACAGCATAGAAATCCAGCATACTTCTATGTAC